ACGTCAGCCTCTCTGCTCCTATGATGCTGCTTGGCCTGCTGTGTTCACCCAGCCCTGCACCTTGTTGTCTTGAAATATTGCATGATCTCTGCATTGAGGAATTTAACTCTCCTGACGTATCATTGATTTCAACAAACTTTGATGGGGTTTCAAAGAGCCAAACTGCTGTCACCACACTATCACATTGAAGATTTCTCATAGATAGCCACCAGGAAATAAAAAGCATAAGGAATTAGACCATCTTTTATAAATTTCATTGTGAATGAAATAAAAATTTGAATATACATGTGGCATTAAGCTTGAAACTAATTTTTTTTAAAAAAATCATTTAAAAATTCTACTTTTGAAAAATCTAGCAATTGATCATAACAGAGACTTGTGACATTATTCCATTGATATAGCATTATATCTTCAAGATCAGATTAGTTGATTAGCAGTAATTATTACAAAACTCCTGGTAGAAAAGCCAGCTCCTCCTCATCAAACAAGGCTCAACATTTTGTGTGTTTTTTTACATTGACATGAGAATGGAAGTGGGTGCATTTTACTAGTTCAGTTGATTTCACTGCTAGCCAAACTTGGGACGAGGTTTGAGAGAAGGGAGGTGGAACAGTGAATGGCAGACTACAATTTCAGGATTTCCTTGTTAACTTGTGCTCATGGTAAATTCTGAAGTTGCAGGCAGATCCAACAACTTAATGATGCCAAATAATATGCTATCAAATATTCCACAAGTACTGGCCATTATGTATACAATTGCTTTCAGTTTTAGTAAATTGTGTGGAAATGCACACTTTTGGTGGCTGAAATCTTAGTATGATTCATCATGAGCCATATTGCTGTGAGATACACTTTTATTTCATTTCCTACTAGGAAATAACATCTTTTTGAGTTAAATTGACTGTAAAATATGCTGACTTGATAATATCTCCATAAAGGACTTTTTTTGTCTTTATTCATTCCTGGGATGAAGCAGAACTTATTGCCCATCCCTAATTGCCCAGATGGTAGTTAAGAATCACCCACATTGCTCTGGGTCTAGAGTCACATGTAGCAATTTCCTTCCCTAAATGGTATTAGTGAACCACATAGGTTTTTCTGACAACTGACAATGGATATATAGTCATCATTAGACACTTAATTCTACACCTTTTTAATTAAATTCAAATTCCACCATCTGCCATGGCGGGATTTGAACCCAGGTCCCCAAAATGTTATTTGGGTCTCTAGATTAACTGTCCAGTGAGAATACCACGAGGCCATCACCTCCCATATTATTTAGTTGTTGGATCTGCCTGCAACTTCAGAAATTATCATGAGCACCAGTTAACATGGAAATCTTGAAATTGTAGTCTGTCATGCACTGTTCCTCCTCTCTCCTTTTAATCCTCATTCCAAGCAGTGATTGTAATAGCATGTGATTGATATGATACCAAAAATTTGGCCTTGTAAAAATTGACACTGTACCTTTTACATTGGCATGTCTAATATTCATGGCAGCATTTTTTTTTTAAATTCATACTATTGTGGGCATCATTCTCTTCTTTTGTACAGCACATAATCTTCTAATAAGCAGTAATGAGAATAGGCAGTGTAGTTTAGTTAGAAAGCAAAGCTCTGTAAGAAATTGACAAACAAAAGGTACATTTTTTCTTTAAGAACATTTAACACAGCTCATTCCAGTTTGTAACATTCAGCATTAGGTGTTCACAAAACCATCATTTTCATGTCACTGAGAAAGAAAACAAAACAAAAGGTTTGAGATAACAAGGTGTAGAACTGGATGAACACAGCAGGCCAAGCAGCATCATAGGAGCAGGAAGGCTGACGTTTCGGGCCTAGACCCTTCATCTGATGGGCAGTTCCTACTATCTCTAAAACAAAAGGTTTGATTGTTGCAGAAAGGTAGTTTTACCAAATAATAATTTTCTTCATGTGGCCTTATTACAGAATTTTAATAAATGGGGGACTAATGGCCCTAAATTATGGGGCATGTTAGAAATGTAGACTTCAAAAGTGATACTTAGCTTGTGAACATTTCTACCTTTCACAGGTTAGCTACTCAGCTTCAGCTAAAATCCTCAGTGACAAGGCTCGATTTCCTGCTTTTTTACGAACAATTCCAAGTGATGAGTATCAAACCAAAGGCATGGTTAAACTGGTTCAAATGTTCCAGTGGAACTGGGTTGGAACTATTGCAAGTGATGACGAATACAGCCGTTCTGGGATAAATAACTTCATTATGCAAGCAGAGCAAGCGGGTATATGCATTGCTTTTCAAGAAGTTATTCCATTTTATTCATCAAATCACATAACTAATTCCAGAATAAAAGAAATAGCAAACATTATCATCAACCAAACAAAAGTGAACGTCATTGTTATTTTTGGAAAAAGCTCTCATGTCACCCAACTGTTTACGGTGTTAAGTACGCAGAACATAAGCAAAGTATGGATTGCCAGTGACAGTTGGTCAACCAACAGTAACATTACTCGTTTGGAGAACATTCAAAATCTTGGGAATATTGTTGGATTTACATTTAAGAGTGGAAACATTTCCGAGTTTCAAAATTATGTAAAAAATTTACCACATAATTCTGAAAGTCCAAACACATTTTTAGCAGAGTATTACAGCCTTCGTAAACTTTGTGCGCACGTACAAGACAATGACTTAGATTCATGTCTTTCAAACCATACACGTCATGCAATGGATAATAGACTGAATATCGTCAACAATTCCACGAAGATGCAATACCAGGAGGATGATTTTCTGGTGAATCATATTGACCCGGGTGTTACTTCCAACATACAGTGGTCAGTGACTGCTCTTGCACACGCTCTTAAAAATCTACTAAAATGTAATGAAGGAATTTGCTGGAAATCATTCAACTTTGCACCTTGGGAGGTAAACCTTTATCTTAAGACAGAAAAATGAATTACATTATCCTCCTGACAGTCTAAGTGCATGCTGCATATACAGTTTTCAATATAAATATTTTTTAAATGCAGTTCTGCCTTTACAGTGCATCATGCTATGCAGGGTAGTTCTATCTGAGGCAAGCAATTGTTAGCACTGCTTACACTGAGAAATGGCTTTCAAGCACAATACAATCTCTCTTATTAGTGCATGTTGACAGGCTGATTACAAATAGTTGTGTGCAGTGGTGCAACATAGAGATAAAGCATGAGCAGTTTCACTGAAATAATTGCACAGAACAAAGAACAATACAGGCCCAACAAGTTAGCACTGATTCCTAATCCTTATTTAGACATGTTACTTATTGCCCATACAAGGTTTCTATCCCTCTGTTTGCCTTCCTCAGCTTTACGTTCAGTCCCTGGATGGTCTGCTGAAACATTTCAGCTTATTTACACCTAAATCAAATAATTAAGTTTAATTCTCCATGGGCCAATAAAAAGAGAGAACCTGTGAATTTAGAACTTTATTTTTTTTCTAACATATCATTTGCTATTTATGCTACTGGTAAAAGGAAAGTCATCCATGTGCTATAAAGAAATAGCTGAAAAAAACTGGACCCTGTGGACCCTGACAACATTCCAGCAATATTACTGAAGACTGGTGCTCCAGAACTAGCCATCTATCTAACCAAGCTGTTCAGTACAGCTTTAATTCTGGAATAGACTGAGCAATGTGGAAAATTGCTAAACTGTCATGTCCACAAAAAAAAAGGATAAATCCAATTCAGTCAATTACCAACCCATCACTCTACTCTCGATCGTCAGCAAATGATGGAACGACCAATTGACAATGCTATTAAGTGGCATTTGCTGAAAAATATCCTACTCATTGATGCTTAAGTGGTTTCTGCCTGGCCCACTTAGCTCCTGACCTCATTACAGCCTTGGTCCTGATACGGACAAAAGAGCTGAACTTCAGAAGTGAGGTGAGAGTGATCACATTTGGAATTAAGGCCACATTTAACACTATATCAAGGAGCCAGAGTAATACAGAAATCAATGAAAGCCAAGAGTAAAACTCTTCTCTAGTTGGAGTCATACTTGATACAAAGGAAAATGATTGTGACCATGGAGGTTAATCATCTGTGTCCAAGGACATCTCTCCAGGAATTCTTCAGAGTAGTGTCCTCAGACCAACTATCTTCAATTGCTCCATCAATGACCTTTTCTCCACCACAATGTCAAAAGTGACAATATTCACTGTAAAATTCACATCTACTTATTTTTGGACTGAAGTCTAAAAATGGGAGATTTCCTAATCCAAGAAAACCCTGTAAGATGTTTGCAGTTTTATAAACAAGTCACTTAAACACATTGTGAGTTGTATCTACAATGTTATCTTATTCAAGTAGTGAGGGAGCATTCCAGACACAATGGCACTATGTCTGTGTTCAGGACAATTTTGCCCAGAGACAGTCTTTTGAAAGGCCTTTCAATTGACATAGTTGGTGTGGACTCAGGAGAGTCTAGCATCGCAACAACCATTGGATTGGTTCCTGGGTAGGCTTGGGTGTGAACAAGTTAATAGAAACATCCATCTTTATCTCTCACTTCTGTGTGGAGAAATAGAAGAAAATTCCTGATAGTTAACTACTCTCCCTCACCTTTTCCTGTAACTTATTCTGTCTGCAAATCCCTAGTTGAAAGGAGAAGGGTTAGAAGCACATTCAGAGGCATTGAAATCCTCTCTAGTGAATAAAAGACTAGGAATTTCTGTATCCACATCAGCAAAGAATGAGAAGGAGTCAAAAGAAAGCTGGAAGAAAGAAACACTCATTAACAGCTGTGATCCAGACTGGCGTCAGAACTGCACTTCTCCAATGAGAGATAGTAAGAACTGCTGATGCTGGAGTCAGAGATAACACAGTGTGGAGCTGGAGGAACACAGCTGGCCAGGCAGCATCAGGGGAGCAGGAAAGCTGATGTTTCAGGTCGGGACCCGAAACGCCAGCTTTCCAGCTCCCCTGATGCTGTCTGGCCTGCAGTGTTCCTCCAGCTCCACACGGTGTTATCTCTGCACTTCTCTAATGTTTCTTTTTGCTTTTCCACTCACCATAATTGACGTTTGTCTTGTTGTCTTGTTTGTGTGTTTTGAGCTGCATTTTTAAAAGGAGTGCAGTTTAAGTTCCAAAGTTACAGATTAACAATTTGACCTGTCTATTCATTGCTTTTGATAAATGAAACATCTTGACTATAATAAATTGTCATTTTCTGGTTAATGGGAAAAAAAAACTGGTGTGCATGTTCTATTAACCTATATTAGACAGTTAAGTAAAATTGGGTAATTTGGTGGTTTAATCAGACTTTCGCATTGGGACATTTCTGGAATAATGGGCCTTGATTTTCAGTTCCAGTGAGTTGTGACAGAATTGTCAGGGTTTTGGAAGAATGACAAGGCAAGATTGGGTGTGGAGTTAGATTAAGTGCTAACAGATAAAAGTGAACACCAGATTTTGTATTAAAAATAAAGATGGCGTCAGATGCTGCTAAACAAGAAAATTATTTTGTTAGTTTACAGATTTGTCCTCATGAAATCAGGTTCTCTGACATGAATCGCGTTTGAGTTTTTCTATAATCCATAGTTTACCTTGATATGCCTCTGAAAATAAGTCAGCGAACACAAATAAAAGATTTTTACACACTGAATGCCTTCAAGTAATTCTTTAGAATATTCAAAATGAAATTTCACATTCTTTATAACAGTGACAGTCTGAAATTCAATATTGACTCATACAATTATATCCAGCCTATCAAATTAAGCTTAGTGTTATGATCTTAAATAAAAATATTCATATTATTCGTTAACTTTTCCTGCAGTTGTTGGAACATGTGAAGAAAGTAAACATGACTGATGGAGGAACAAAGATTCAATTTGATCTTTCCGGCGATTTTATGTCTGGATATGATATTGTGATGTGGAACTTTTTGGAAGGCAAAGTGGAGATCAATCAGAAAGTTGCTGAATATGATATAGAACAGAATAAAATTACAGTGAGAGATTCAAGGTTGAATCAATTAAAGGTAATTTTGTTCAAAATTAATTATTCTTAACTTTTACCTTTTTGAGTTTCACATAGCACCAAGAAATTATAGTCAGTAATATTATCAAAAATCTTCTTAGGAAAAGTGACTGCCTTCCCTTCAGGAAACTAGAATGGCCTATCTGCCAGTTTGAAGAGGGACCTCTATTTGCTCCATATGGGAGCAAGTGGATGCACAGATAGGGGACAGGATTTCTCAGACCTCCTGAACCCTTGATTAACTCTTGTGACACCCTCACCTTTCTGATCATTGCAGCCCCTCAGTGCTGCACAACTTGTGCCTTAATTGTCAATCTCAAGGGCCCACAAACTTTCAAATCTCTGACTGGGTGACAGCTTCTGGCAAACAGGACTTCAGTGTTGAGGCTCATTGGTCAGCTCTTAACTGGTGATTGGAGCTATACGGCGCTAGTGCGGGGGATGGGTAGTCTCCTTTCTTTGCCCACCACCACTGGTGCAGAGACCACTAAATCTAACCATCAGTCTGCTCAATTGTCCATTCAAGTACACCTTTGATGTCGTTGCTACCAGTAAAACCTTATTTCTCCCTCATCCTTTCAATTCTCCCAGTGGTGATCCAAACTTAATTCACATACAGCCCACATACAACCAGCCCAGCTTGTCCCCGCCTCCCTAACCTGTCCTTCCTTTCCCTATCCCCTCCTCCCACCTCAAGCCCCAACCCCATCTCCTACCTACTAGCCTCATCCTGCCCCCTTGACCTGTCCGTCCTCCCTGGACTGACCTATCCCTTCCCTAACTCCCCATCTACACTCACCTTTAATGGCTCCACCCCGCCTCTTTCTGTCTCCTCTCCACCTATTTTCTCCTCTATCCATCTTCTATCCGCCTTCCCCTATTTATTTCAGAAGCCCCTTCCCCTACCCCATTTCTGAAGAAGGGTCTAGGCCCGAAACGTATTAGCTTTCCTGCTCCTCTGATGCTGCTTGGCCTGCTGTGTTCATCCAGCTCTACACCTTGTTATCTCAGATTCTCCAGCATCGACAGTTCCTACTATCTCTTAATTCACATACATCCAAGATTGTAGGATCAAACATGTTGGTTTTAACTGCATCACCAGATCTGGCTGCACCACATCAGTGTGCCATCAGGCCACTATACGCCAAAACTGTCCACTGCTACAGGGTCACACTGGAGACAAAGGACAACCTTCAGCTAATTTTTTCCATCATCACTAGTCTCCAAAATCCGCTCTTTCCTACAGCTTCCACCTTCACCCACAATAGCATGTGCAAGGAGCTTGTGCACCTCAAAGAATCTTTCAAAATCCAATATAATTACGTCGAGTAGATATGGATTTATGGAAGGAAAGTCATATTTCACAAACCTATGAGAGTTTTATGAGGGTATAAGTAGAAGTTTAGATAAATGTGAGCTGGTGAAGGTGGAACAGTTAGATTTTCAGACGGTATTTGACATGTGTGTAGGATTGGGGTACTATATAGGGGAAGTTATATGTGGAGCCAGAAGAAATGGGTGAAATCCTTAATGAGTACTTTACATTGATATTCACCAAAGAGAGGGATGTGAAAGTATTTGAGAATAGAATCCCTACAGTGTGGAAACAGGCCTTTCGGCCCAACAAGTCCACACCGAACCTCAGAGCATCCCACCCAGACCCATATAACCCACCTAATCTACACCTCCCTGAACACTACGGGCAATTTAGCATGGCCAATCCACCTAACCTGCACATCTTTGGACTGTGGGAGGAAACTGGAGGAAACCCACGCAGACACGGAGAGAATGCGCAAACTCCACACAGACAGTCGCCCAAGGCTGGAATCAAACCCGAGTCACTGGCGCTGTGAGGCAGCAGTGCTAACCACTGTGCCACTGTGCCGCCCTAGGTCGTTAGGGAAAGGTGTGTGAATACTCTTGGATGGGTCAATATAATGAAGAAGGAAGTGTTAGGTGTCTTGAAATGTATTAAGGTAGACAAGTCCCAGGGCCAAGCAGGATCTATCCCAGGAAACTGTGGGGAGGAAGGGAGGAAATGTCTGGGGCCTTAACAGATATCTTAACATCTGCTTTGGCCTCAGGCGAGGTTCTAGAGGACGGAGAATGGCCAATGTTGTTCCTTTGTTTATGAAGGGCAACAGAGATAATCCAGGTAATTACAGGTGGTGAGCCTGACATCAGTGGTAGGGAAGCCATTGGAAAAGATACTGAGAGACATGTTTTATTCACATTTAGAAGTGAATAGACTTGTTAGTGATCGGGAGCATGGGTTCGTGCGGGGAAGGTCATGTCTCAACAACTTGTTAAGTTTTTTGAGGAGCTGACAAGAATGCTTGGTGAGGGAAAGGCAATGGATATTGTCTACATGGACTTTAGTAAGGCATTTGATAAAGTACCTCATGGCAGGTGGTACAAAAGGTAGAGTCACATGGGATGTGGGGGAGTTGGCTAGGTGGATACAAAACTGGCTTATTCATAGAAGACAGAGAGTAGCAATGGAAGGGTAATTTTGTGAATGGAGATCAGAAACTAGTGGTGTTCTGCAGGGATCAGTGCTGGGACCTTTGTTGTTTATAACATATATAAATGATCTGGACGAAAATGTAGGTGGTCTGATTAGTAAGTTTGTGGATGGCACCAAAATTGGCAGAGTTGCAGATAGTGAGGAGGATTGTCAAAGGATACAAAAGGACATAGATAGATTGCAGATTTGGGAAGAGGATTGGCAGATGGAGTTTAATCTGGACAAATGCAAGGTGATGCATTTTGGAAGATCAAATCTGGGTGCAAATTATACAATAAATGATGGAATCCTTATGAGCACCGATATACAGGGGGATCCAGGCGTACAGGTCTACAGAACCCTGAAAGTGACAACACAGATAGACAGGTGGAAGAAGGCACACAACCTGCTTGCCTGGATCAGCTGGGGCATCTAGTATAAAGGTTGGTAAGTTATGTTACAGCTGTATAAAACTTTAGTTAGGCGACAGTTGGAATATTGGGTCCAGTTCTGGTCGCCACATTACAAGATGAACATGGATGCTTTGGAGAGAGTGCAGAGAAGGTTTACCAGAATGTTGCCTGTTCTGGAGAGTTTTACTTATGAGGAGAGTTTGGATAAACTGGAATGGTTTACACTGGAAGGATAGAGGTTTGGGGCAACCTGATAAAAGTTTACAAAGTTATGAAAGGCATAGATAGGATAGATAGTCAGAGGCTTTCTTCCTAGTGTGGAAGGGTCACCTACAAGAGGGCACTGATTCAAGGTAAGAGGGAGAAAGTTTAGGAGAGAAGTGAGGGGAACGTTTTTCATCCAGATAGTGGTGGGTGCCTGGACTGTACTGCCAGTGGAGGTGGTGGAAGCAGGCATGTTAGCAACATTTAAGGTATATCTTGATAGACACACGAATGGGAGGCAAACAGAGGGATAGAAACCGCACATGGTGGATCTAAATAAGGATGATGGGAGGAGTGCTGCTGCAGTGATAGGGAGAGAGGTTGGCAGCAAGCTCATACAGGGTAGCTCTCAGCAGAGGCCGTCATTTCTGATCCCAGTTCCTTCAAACAAACACTGAGTATCTTTGAATTGAGGCCTCCCCACCCTCCACAACTCTGTAAAGGGTTTTTTTTTTGTGTTCCTCAAATGGCAATTTGCACCCCCTCCCAATCTCCCACTCTCCCCTGATGTATTAATACCAGCAACTGTAACACAAGGCCTTCAAGTGGCATTAAGTTGTAGCAGCTACAAGAAGTCCATCCTAATCCCTTCCCATCACAGATTTAATAAGGGTGGAGGCAGGGTGGTGACAGAATCTCCAACCTCTCATCCAATTGCAAAAAAATTCTCTACTATCGAATCCCAAAGATCACAAAAGCCTAAGTTGTGTTGAAGGAAGTTTGTGCTAAAAAATTCACAATCTGTGGCACCAACCAAGTTGAGTTAAGCCAAATTGCACAGTGCTAAAGAATAAACTCCAGGTCATAATATGTATCTTGTATATGAGCAACAAATGTCCAACAATAAATATGAACAGTTATTAGATCAATTACAATTTTTTAAAATAAAATTTCGAAATGACTCATCCTAACAGTCACAGAAAGTGAAGCAAATGCCAATGAGCTAAACTAGTTAGGTTTTTACTGATGATTAAATAAGGAAATGATAACTGTACCATCTGTAATTGATAATACTCAATAACCAAACTTTTCGATTACTTTATATACCAGAAGTAATTCTAGCAAATAGTTAAAGCAGACAAGATGCTAATTTTCAACCAGGACAATATTCTTTTCTCATTAATGTAATTTAAATTTCCTATTTGCTTCATGTTTTTCATTTATTTTGCTTAATTTAACTCAAAATAGCTACGTTGGCCTCAGTATTACTCCAAATTGACCTTGTTTCAAACACAAATTGTTTTTAAAATTAGAATTAGCAAGCATATTATCAAATTTAGTTGATAGCATATTTGGCAGTCACATTTTGTGATTATCATACTTTTCAACATTTGTAAATATTGTTTTCATTTTCTTTGAAGGTTGTGATGTCTAACTGCTCAAACCATTGCCAACCAGGACAAATAAAATTGTCATCTGAAAGCCAACATACATGTTGCTATGATTGTATAAACTGCACCTTCAACACATACTCCAAAACAAAAGGTAGGTAGTAAATAAGTCTGTTTGTAAATTATCGTATATGTCATCTATTTGTACAGTCATGCATTAAAATACGTGAAATATCAGGGAGGGGTAGTATCCTTGCATCATTAGGTTTCCAATGACAGCAATAGATTAATAATGTATTCCCAGAAAAAGTTCTCCACCTCCTCAGATAATCACAGTAAGGTACTGTGGTTTTCAACCCTGAACCTTTAAGGGGAAATCTTAAATTATATGAAATCTACCCTAATAGAACCTTTCTTGCAAAATTGGAGTTGTATGGAAACAAAGCTCAGGACAGTACACAAATTTGACCAATTTTCTCCCTTCATTCTTGGCACATTCATAGGGAGTTGACAAATTGCTACATGTCCTCAATATTTTGCTCAAGTGGATTTTATTCGTATGAGGCCCAGGAGTGACTGCAGGTAGGATATTCAACCAAGAAGTAAATCACAGTCAACCTTCTCTAGGTTTTCCTTGCAATTCACACAAAGACATTTTTCTCCTTCATAAAATTCCCTGAACAGTGTTTAGGAGTAAAAGTCTATTTTCCTTTCCATAGGCAGGAGAACTGAGGACAACTATTGCATTCCTATCACCATTGCAGCTCAGATAAGCTAAATGATTTTCAGTGAAGGAAGTTGGGATCATTTTAGACGATAAGGGTCAACCGATCACTAGAAAATCTAATTCAACCTGAGGAAGCTTAAGCATAAATCTGGAATAAGAATAGATTTAGTGGGCCCTCGGTTAGATCGCAAAAGGCCTTTTACCACTAAGACCAGGGGGTAGCTTAAATTAATAACTTGACGTGTTAACTCGCATCATTTTTCATCTTCTTCATTTCAGATGCACTGCAATGTAACTCTTGTTTACCTGATGAGTGGGCACCAAGTGGAAGTGCAGATTGCTACAAAAAACGCATTATATTTCTTGACTGGAACAATGGATTTTCTATTGTACTGTTAACTCTTGCAGCCTTTGGAATTGTTTTAATCATTATAATAGTCTCCATCTTTTTCAAGAATGTCAGAACACCAGTTGTTAAGTCCAATGGTGGTACCTTAAGCTTCATTATGCTCATCTCTTTGATGTTCAGTTTTTTAAGTGTTGGTTTTTTCATTGGAAAACCAAATGACATTACTTGCAATATCAGGCAGTGCTTATTTGGCATCAGCTTTACTCTTTCTGTTTCATGTGCTCTGGCAAAATCATTGAAAATACTACTAGCATTCAACTTTAACCCAGCTAATCAACATATTTTGAAGAACTTTTACTATTCTGGGCTCATTACAAGTTTCTGTACTGGATTTCAGGTTATCATTTGTACAATGTGGTTGGTGTTCTATGGCCCAAAAGTGCTCAAAGATGACACCAGATTGCAAAGGGAAATTTTGGTGGAATGTAACGAGGGCTCTTATGTGGCATTTGCTGTTATGTTGGGATACATAGCATTCCTTGCACTGATATGTTTTAGTTTTGCCTTTAAAGGTAGAAAGTTGCCAGAAAACTACAATGAAGCTAAGTTTATTACATTTAGCATGTTGATCTACTTTATTTCTTGGATTACTTTTGTACCTGTCTATGTAACCACTCATGGCATGTATCTCCCAGCAGTGGAAGTAGTTACAATTTTATCTTCAACCTACGGCATATTATGCTGTCAGTTTTTTCCGAAGTGTTACATTATTCTATTTAAGAAAGAATGCAACACTACCACCTCATTTTTGCAAAATTTGTACGACTATTCACTGAAAAGCACAAACCTTATAACAAACAGTCAACATTCACTGAACTATTCAGCATGTAACAAATCCATCAAAAGTAACGACAGTCAAAACATATTTAGCACGGCTTCTACTTCTGCTGCACAAAGCAACGGATTCATTTGTGTTTCAAGGAAGAGAAGTTCTAGTTGGTAAATGTTGAATTGCAAAAATTGCCTAAAGATGATTTGCACACAAATTAATCACTTCACATTGAAGCTGTTTTATGGTTGGTTCAATCCTGCCCCCGTAGCATCATTCACTTTGTCATTTTTGGGCCTTGGTTGCCAAACACAATCGCTCATTGCGACAAAAAAATTGCAATTTTATGATAGGTCGGAGACTGATTTCCCACGTTGCAAATGTAACACATCCATTCCAGATAGTGGGCATTATTAATTTACAGAAGCAAAGTTACTTCTTACCTCATGCTTGTCCTTCCTGATGAGGAAGTAATTCATATAATTAATGATCATGGCTAGAGAAGGAATGTTTGTGATTTGTATGATGTTTGCTACCTTTTTGAACATTAAGTTTAAAAGATGAAGGTTATTTGAAGGTAAAGTTTCTAAATATTGAGGCCCTACTAGATATAAGAGGAAGCATATAATGTCATATTTTACTATGCACATTTTCTAATATATTTTATGTCTTATCCAATGTGAAACAATAACTAAGGGACTCTTTCTATGGGAAGTCATAGAAACATAAGTAATATTTTTAAATTAATGTCTCTTATTCTTAATTTTCCCTTTCTTATACCATCATTTGCACACCATCACCAAGCAATTTGCAGTAATATAAGAGAGCGCGAAAGCATCCTTTCAGGGACATCAAGGATGTTAGACATCACTCCAAAATGAAGAATATAAAACAAGGTGTTGCCTCACATCATATATCCACCTAGTTTATAACTTGGGAGGTGCTTGCTGGCCTGTTTTCATACCTTTCACAAAGTTTCACTTCTGGATGATGTGAACAACAATGGGGAAGACCAGCTGTTGCTTCTCCATGTTGACATATCTGTCTGAAAGTGTGAGATGATGAACTTATTCTGTATAGAAAGCTTGTAGATGATCTTGAAGTACGTTAAACTGTCCACCAGGTTGATCAACAACTTGTAGTTTGGTGACTATACGTCAGAGAAAGAAATTTCCCATTGTAAAACCTCTGGCAATGGTGCAAAAATACATGGGGTTGAATAGGCCAGCAAGTTAAAACAGGAAAGGGATGAGTTGCCCATTACAACTATTCAGATCAAAACTACTTTTAAGTTAAATACTATGGCTTCTGAAATGTGTACAATTATTGAGTATATCATTTGTTAATGTCGCGGATATTTTGTGCAATTGCACTGTATGGCCATTAATATTGGCCAACAAAATAGGCAAGACTAATGTAAATGTAGAAAACAGAAAAGTCCTAATATTCTAAATTATATTGATACATCTCAAGTCTAGCCTCTAGCAACTGGGAATCATGTTCATGTTAAGTAGCTGAATTATTGCTTTCACAGTTGTGTATATTATGCTCTATTTTTGTTAATATATTTTAATTTTAACTTTTAAATGTAACAAAGTATGTATGAATATCTGAAAGAAAAATATGTACAAAGTTAGCACATTGGTATTTTTTGAATGCATTGCAAATTACTGTTTAATTAAACCTTAATTTAAATTACATCACTTTCTTTTGTTAGTGATATTCTTAAGCATTTGGCCTGGAGTTTCCTGAACTGCATTTACATGAAAATTTATACCAGTTTCTCACATCACAATTGGGATAGGAACTTACACAGAATTAAAGAACCACCATAGTTTAACAAAAGCACAAAACATGTGCTAACTTTCTTCTTTAGGTCATGCTTTTTCTCACTAATGCAAGAAAAAGGTTTGAAGCAATCAGATCGTCAATAATAGCTTTTAAGCACAATAGCCTGGAGTTTTCGCCATGGTCGCAATCACTTATCGTGTCATAAATTGCATTTAAAATTGTGCTGAATGCGTAAGGGGTTTTCTTTCTGTCAAGTTTCTGCCCAACTCATGTGCATATTTGACAATATTTAAGGATTTTTCTAAAGAAAAAAGTTTCTTAAAATATTTTTAAATAATAAATTATGCAATTTAGCTTATTTGAACAATGTGTTTATCAGAAATTATAAATATTTTTAATCAGTCTACCATGTGTGCCAACTGCAAATAACATGATTTTAAAAAACAGAAAATGATTTTAAAAAGTTCCGTACAGGACTATTTGTTAGCTATGTTGGCATGTGTCAGTCAACATCTTTGAAATTAAGAAGACGACCTTCAAAGGTTTTTATAATTTTCCTATTCATATAAAACAGTTTGGTTCTAAGAGTTTCCTTGATGGTCAATAAACAGAAGCTATTAGTGGAATCTAGCAGTGATCAGCTTGATTTACAAGTGTACCAGTTGTGTGGGTGGAACCAGAATTTACCACTTCTTTAGAACTAGTGCAAAAAATTTTGGAAGCTCAAGTCCAGTTAAACGTAATTTGCATTTAAAATGTTTCAACCATTTGTACTGGTTTGGGTGAATTGTGTTGAAAAGTAACAGCACTATCTAGCAGAAACTCCAGCTTGTTTACAAAAGTTCAACTGCAGGAATGTTCCTTTTTTATTGAATAGATTCTGACACCATAAACAAATAATTGATGATATTACAAAATGCAATATGGCTCTGAACAAGCAGAACTAAATAAGGTTGCCGAAAGCGATTCAACTATAACATAGAACATAGAACATAGAACATAGAACATTACAGCGCAGTACAGGCCCTTCGGCCCTCGATGTTGCGCCGACCTGTGAAACCAATCTGAAGCCCACCTAACCTAAACTATTCCATTATCATCCATATGTTTATCCAATGACCATTTAAATGCCCTTAAAGTGGGCGAGTCTACTATTTTTGCAGGCAGGGCATTCCACGCCCTTACTACTCTCTGAGTAAAGAACCTACCTCTGACATCTGTCCTACATCTATCACCCCTCAATTTAAAGCTATGTCCCCTCGTGCTAGCCATCACCATCCGAGGAAAAAAGGATCCCTCTGTCCACCCTATCTAATCCTCTGATCATCTTGTATGTCTCTATCAAGTCACCTCTTAACCTTCTTCTCTCTAACGAAAACAGCCTCAAAACCCTCAGCCTTTCCTCATAAGACCTTCCCTCCATACCAGGCAACATCCTGGTAAATCTCCTCTGCACCCTTTCCAATGCTTCCACATCCTTCCTATAATGCGGTGACCAGAACTGTACGCAATACTCCAAGTGCGGCCGCACCAGAGTTTTGTACAGCTGCAACATGACCTCATGGCTCCGAAACTCAATCCCTCTACCAATAAAACCTAACATACTGTACGCCTTCTTAACAACGCTATCAACCTGGGTGGCAACTTGCAGTGATCTATGCACATGGACACCGAGATCTCTCTGCTCATCCACACTACCAAGAATCTTACCATTAGCCCAGTACTCTGTATTCCTGTTACTCCTTCCAAAGTGAATCACCTCACACTTTTCCGCATTAAACTCCATTTGCCACCTCTCAGCCCAGCTCTGCAGCTTATCTATGTCCCTCTGTAACCTACAACATCCTTCTGCACTATCCACAACTCCACCGACTTTGGTGTCATCCGCAAATTTACTAACCCATCCTTCTACGCCCTCATCCAGGTCATTTATAAAAATGACAAACAGCAGTGGCCCCAAAACAGATCCTTGAGGTACACCACTCGTAACTGAACTCCAGGATGAACATTTCCCATCAATCACCACCCTCTGTCTTCTTACAGCTAGCCAATTTCTGATCCAAACCACTAAATCACGCTCAATCCCATGCCTCCATATTTTCTGCAATAGCCTACCATGGGGAACCTTATCAAACGCTTTAATGAAATACAAATACACCACATCAACCGCTTTACCCTCATCCACCTGTTTGGTCACCTTCTCAAAGAACTCAATAAGGTTTGTGAGGCACGACCTACCCTTCACAAAACCGTGTTGACTATCCCTAATCAAATTATTCCTTTCTAGATGATTATAAATCCTATTTCTTATAATCCTTTCCAACACTTTACCCACAACCGAAGTAAGGCTCACTGGTCTATAATTACCAGGGTTGTCTCTACTCCCCTTCTTGAACAAGGGGACAACATTTGCTAGTCTCCAGTCTTCTGGCACTATTCCTGAAGACAATGATGACATAAAGATCAAAGCCAAAGGCTCTGCAATCTCCTCTCTAGCTTCCCAGAGAATCCTAGGATAAATCCCATCCAGCCCAGGGGACTTATCTATTTTCACACCTTCCAGAATTGCTAACACCTCCTCCTTATGAACCTCAATCCCGTCTAGTCTAATAGACTGTATCTCAGTATTCTCCTCAACTACATTGTCTTTTTCCTGTGTGAATACTGACGAAAAATATTCATTTAGCACCTCTCCTATCTCTTCGGACTCCACGCACAACTTCCCACTACTGTCCTTGACCGGCCCCAATCTTACTCTAGTCATTCTTTTATTCCTGACATACCTATAGAAAGCTTTAGGGTTTTCCTTGATCCTACCTGCTAAAGACTTCTCATGTCTCCTCCTGGCTCTTCTTAGCTCTCTCTTTAGGTCCTTCCTGGCTAACTTGTAACTCTCAAGCGCCCTAACTGAGCCATCATGCCTCATCTCTACATAAGCCTGCTTCTTCCTCTTGACAAGAAATTCAACTTCTTTAGTAAACCACGGTTCCCTCGCTCGACCACTTCCTCCCTGCCTGACAGGTACATACTTCTCAAGGACACGCAGTAGCTGTTCCTTGAACAAGCTCCACATTTCAATTGTGCCCAGCCCCTGCAGTTTCCTTCTCCATCCTATGCATCCTAAATCTTGCCTCATCGCCTCATAGTTGCCTTTCCCCCAGCTATAACTCTTGCCCTGCGTTATATACCGATCCCTTTCCATCGCTAAAGTAAACGTAACCGAATTGTGGTCACCATCACCAAAGTGCTCTCCTACCTCCAAATCTAACACCTGGCCTGGTTCATTACCCAGTACCAAATCCAATGTGGCCTCGCCTCTTGCTGGCCTATCTACATACTGTGTCAGGAAACCCTCCTGCACACATTGGACAAAAACTGACCCATCTGAAGTACTCGAACTATAGCGTTTCCAGTCAATATTTGGAAAGTTAAAGTCCCCCATAACAACTACCCTGTTACTTTCGCTCCTATCCAGAATCACCTTTGCAATCTTTTCCTCTACATCTCTGGAACTTTTCGGAGGCCTATAGAAAACTCCCAACAGGGTGACCTCTCCTTTCCTGGTTCTAACCTCAGCCCATACTACCTCAGTAGACGAGTTGTCATCAAACGTCCTTTCTGCCACCGTAATACTGTCCTTGACGAACAATGCCACACCTCCCCCTCTTTTACCACCTTCCCTGATCTTACTGAAACATCTAAACCCCGGAACCTGCAACAACCATTCCTGTCCCTGCTCTATCCATGTCTCCGAAATGGCCACAACATCAAAGTCCCAGGTACCAACCCATGCTGCAAGTTCACCCACCTTATTCCGGATGCTCCTGGCATTGAAGTAGACACACTTCAAACCACCTTCCTGCCTGCCGGTACACTCCTGCGACCTTGAAACCTTATTTATGACCTCACTACTCTCAACCTCCTGTACACTGGAGCTACAATTCAGGTTCCCACCCCCCTGTTGAATTACTTTAAACCCTCCTGAAGAGCATTAGCAAATTTCCCCCCCAGGATATTGGTACCCCTCTGGTTCAGGTGTAGACCATCCCGTTTGTAGAGGTCCCACCTACCCCAGAATGAGCCCCAATTATCCAGGTATCTGAATCCCTCCCTCCTGCACCATCCCTGTAGCCACGTGTTCAACTGCTCTCTCTCCCTATTCCTCGCCTCGCTAGCACGTGGCACAGGTAACAAACCGGAGATAACAACTCTGTTTGTTCTCGCTCTAAGCTTCCACCCTAGCTCCTTGAATTTCTGCCTTACGTCCCCATCCCTTTTCCTACCTATGTCGTTGGTGCCTATGTGGACCATGACTTGGGGCTGCTCCCCCTTCCCCTTAAGGATCTCAAAAACACGATCCGAGACATCACGGACCCTGGCACCTGGGAGGCAACACACCAACCGCGAGTCTCTCTCGTTCCCACAGAATCTCCTATCTGTCCCCCTAACTATGGAGTCCCCTTTTTTTTTATTTTTCCAACATATTTATGCCACTCCAGCCATTCTGACTTAAAGACCTTCATGGACACCAGTTTTATTTTGCCAAGCTCTGTCCTACTGTTATTGACTTCATCGTCTTCATTTTCATACCTCACTGTCACTTCCCTTTGTTGGTGCCTTTTATCACTGGGGTGTTGGGGCAGAAGGGAAATGAATAGATATCTCAAGTGCCCTGACAACTAGCTCCACACTGTTGTATTTTTGGTCTCTGCATTCTTTGCCATGTTCCTGCATTCTTTCAGGGAAGCCAGTCAATTCCTGTTTATTACTCAGGCCAGCCTTGAGGGTAAAATCTC